TATATTTAAAAGTTATATTTTAAATTTAAAAGTTAATAGCAGTGATATTTTTAATGCCATATAAAAAGTGTTATAAATATAAAAATTAATCTTTAGATGTTAGTATCAAAAGCTCTAATTTTCTAGGAATTTTGCCTTGTTTTAATTAAAGAATTATAATGATTAAAAAAAATAGAAAATTACAAATTCAAGTTTATTGTGTTCACTGTGGTCAGACGACCAAATGAAAAATGAAATGTGGGATTTAAGAGAGATATGCATTATTAAGTATTTTTCTATTTAAAAATTAATAAAAAGTGAAATAAATAAATATGACTCAAAAAATCACAAAATATATCAAATTGAAGAAAACAATCTTAGGATGCTACATAAAAATTTTAAAGTTTGAAATCTTATTTTTAATAAAAAAAATATAGTTTTTTTTAAGGAAAATTATCATTTTTTTTAAATAATTAAAAAAATAGAATAAAAATCAAAAAATTATAAAATCAAGTTTGAGGTGTTCTTTGAGATTAGAGGCACCCAGAAAAAAATGAAACTAAGGTTAAAAAAAAATTCATTTTTATCTTTTTTAATTAAAAACAATTAAAAAATATTAAAAAATACAAATATGCCTCGAAATATCATAGACTACTCCTTGAATAAGGAAATTAACCTAAAAATGCTTTTATAAATTTTTAAAGTTATAAAAATGTATTTTAGCTAGTTAAAAGTATTTTTCTATATTTTTGAATAAAATATTTATAGAAAATTAAAATAAAACTCAACAAAATATCAAATAATTTTTTTTTAGTTCTCTAAACTGAGAGAGACTAATGAAAAGTATAAAAGTTAATTTTCAAAGGAAAATAATTAATTTCTATTTTATTATTCATTAAAATTAATTAAAAATCTTGATAATTTAAAAATTCATGAAAATCTATTCTAAGTGGTCCTTTGATTCATACGAACACAATAAAATTTTATTAGGGACAGAAAACATGTTTTGCTTATTTAAAATTATCATTGAAGATTCATAATTATGGACCAAAATAATTATAAATAAATAAAAATCAGATAAATATAAATTCTCCTCTAATGTTTCAACTAACCCATGAATGATGGGCCAACAAAGTTCCATGGTCACTTGGAATAAACTAAATGAGTTATGGGGTAGGAAACCTTAGGGGTAATATTGTAATTTTGCATTTTTGTACTAAAACTAAAATTTAGGTTAAACAAAAGGGTAAAAGAGTAATATTTATGATAATTAATCCTCTGATATGATTGAAACACAATGTAGCAGGGTAGAAACCAATTCCCATCATTTTCTACTAAAGGTCATAATTGTAACTTTTCAAATTGATGAATATCAGAAGATAGTTAAGTTTGCATGATTCAAGTGTGAGAAGGCACAAGTTAGGAATTTAATAATTAATTGATTGAAGCCTCAAACCAATTGTTAAGAATAATTCAATATTTCACTAAGAATCAAACACACTTGATGAAACTTTTTCAAAATTTCAAATGCATCATCATTAAAGGATCTAAGAGCTTGGTAGTGAGCTAAGATTGATCTCAAAACATTTAAAGGGATTAGAAAAGAAATAACATAACTTATCATAAGTATTCTTAAAACACTACAAGCTTAATTTCAATGGACAAGAAAGAATAAGATTTCTTTAAGCGATTAAGCATACCCCTAGGGGTGACCACCCACATATACCTCAAACATCACACTAAAGAAGTGACTACTTGCCCTATACATGGGTTAATTGAAACATGAAAATTGAACGCAACTCAAAACGTTCAAGTGAAACTTTAACTAACTAGGGTTAATCAATTCAACAATATGGTAAGACCAAGTGAACTTGAAATGGTCGAAGAGATTATAAAGTTGTTTAGTGTCACTTCTCGAGTACCTTTACAAGATTTTGGATATTTTAGAAAACATTTGGGCTTATCTAAATTTGTTGAAGATCCTCAAAACTTTAGGGACCCAACAAGATATGATTTGGGACCCTTTTAAATTATATTACTAATAAAAACCCTGTCATTACTTACCTGTCACTACTTATCGTACAGTAAAACCCAATGCTCAAGGGTATAAGTCATAGATATGGTATTAAACCCCTTGTAGGCACCGAGAAATATTTTAATGCCACATATGGATCACTAGGCTTGTGTAAGTCAAAGGTCTGGGTGGCGAGGGTGATGATTATAATTCTTATGTGTTCTAAGAGCGAGATATTTGAATAGTATGTCCTACCTCAACGACCTTCAAAGAGGGGATAGAACCAATGATATTATTCCTAAACTTTTGGTAAGAAGTTGCCCCTAGTTTTCTTAGGTTGTCGGAAGTTCTAGTTTGATTGAGGTGACTAACTTGTGGACTATCCAATTTTTTGTCAAAACATATATATATATATATATATATATATATAACAAAAAAATCTTTTCTTGTGACAACACTACTTTTGACTGGTAAATAAGTTCTACAGGCATGAAAAATTAAAGAAATTTTAGATGTTACCCTATAAAGGTCCACTTTTTAATCATTTTGATTGAGGTCAGGAATTGCGCTTCTTAGATTGCTTGGTTGGTAGCTCTTATCCAAGGTTGGGATTATAAACATACAATCCAGCTGTGAGTCCCCACATTTACCAAATTCTTACACTCTACCCCGATTTTCTATATGTGTCAACGAGTTTTGTTTTACTAGATTCACGTTTTCTTATGATATACTTAAGTTTTTTTTTTT